TTTTTGGGTGTGGTCAGTTTTGGACGTTTCGCCCCGGATTGGGGTTCGGGCAGCGTTACCATGTTGACCGTCATGGTCAACTTACCCTAAAACAGTTGAGATTATCTGTCCTAAATGAAATGCATACAAACTCATATACAGGTCCTAGACTACTGCTAACTTTTTTTAGTCGCAATTCCGATTGATCGGTAAATTAGAAGATCTGTTTTATATCGAATGGTAAATTAGAAATAAAATTTTTAAAAAGAAAAGTGCCTCATCAGTCCATACTTCCCGACTCTGCTAGCTCGTATCGGTCAAGTCCGTCTCGTGCTAGCCGCTAGAACGCCGTATGTTAACGTTTAAGTTAGATTTCGGCTACCCTGGTTCCAGAGGTTTATTTATCGTCAAAGGCGGGTGAATAGGTGGCTTACCAACCGGTGTCGAACGAACGACGGGGGAGAGTGCCGGCGGCCCCCAGACCATTATGCCTGGCACCCTTTTCGCAAGATCCTATCACAGAATAGATACAGGACCAGAAGTGTCACTCAGACGATATTTTGTCCGACATTTTACGAGTGCTGACGTGAAAATACGCCATCATATGACGCCATCCTGGAGTGCACACGGAAGTTTTTCATAGGAAAACATAGGTACAAAGTGCCGGGTGCACTCCAGGATGGCGTCATAGCACGCAAAAAATTTCGGACGTTTTCCTTCAGCCAAAACAAATACTAGGAGTGACACTTCTGGTCCGGTATCTATTCTGTGCACAGACGATGCGCATGAATGACTTTGGCCATAAATTTCGCAACTCAACAGACAACACGTGTATTTATAAAGTCATTTTATTTATACATAAATTTTGAAACATCAATTCTACAATTGATCATGCAACTGTGTTTGTCGTTTGAATTCAAAAACTGAACTTCACAAACATCCATCCATTGTGTTGTTGCCACATATTGCTGTGATTTTTGCACCGAAGTAATCATTTACGTTTTTAGTGTTGAAGTCTATCACCATATCATCATGCTTGGCTTTCTTTGTACAGTCCTGGATGAAACATGCTAAAATGTTGTGGAAAATGGCATCATCAGTGATATTCATTCTAACGCCCGTATTCTAACAGCTCCTCACACTCGATGAGTGGAAGTTCAATCTGAGCTTCTCTCGAATGTCATTGCTGTTTTTGAGTTGGAGGGTTAGTGTCATACCTTACTACCTATGTGACTATAATCACCCTCCAGCTATGCAAAACAGCATTGACATTCAGAGAAGCTCAGATTGAACCTCCACTCAGTGAGTGTGACTTATGTGAGTGAGCTTTTAGAATACAGGCGTAAGATTTACATAATAAAAGTCCTAATTAAATATACCAGTGACCAAATTTGAGGGTCTGTGTAAAAAAAAACCTGGTCTAATTAGTTAAACTTACGCTACTGGCACTACTAAATTGAGGAAATATCATTTTACAGCCATTTTGTCTCGTCGTTGTGACTTCTTTATAATACTTAAGATGTACTGGAGTAGTGTGTTAATTACCTCGACGTTTCGGTGTAAGTGTGGGATCCAGGACAAGTGCAAAAACTTGATTTGAAAATAACAAAACTAAAACATGAAAAAATCAAATGTGCTCAGACGGGGATCCTGAAGAGCATTTTACGGATTAAAAACACTGAAGCCGAATATATTTTATTCATTTGTAATTTGACATTAAATTGACCATTTGCGTAATAGACTAAATTTTGATCTAGACAAAAAATCGAGGCTGTCAATTTCCCGTTTGTAATCTAAAATGACTGAAAATTGCAAACTTCGCAAGGCTATATTATCCGCATTTTAGAACATTTCGCAACGAAACTTTGGAATATTACTACTGATTCTGTGATGTTCGTTCAAGATGTGATAAAATTTTTGTCTAGACTTGTTTAGATCAAAATTTTGTCTATTACGCAAATGGTCAATTGTGTAATCCC